TGAGTAAGAGGGAGTTACTTGTAATAATCGTAGGATTGCATGAGTTTGGCAAGCTACTGTATTAAATGGGTATAAGAAAGAAACGCCATTTATATTCAGCACAAAGGCAGGTTAGAAGGAATCTCACTTAGACCACTAGTTAGGCAACAGCCAGCACTGGAGCGCCGAGAGGCATAAGCGTTTTAGATAACTGGCTTATTCCATAACAAGAAACCATAGTAACGGTTAGTTTCTTGACATGATGTGTCTAGAACAGGAACTTAAGAATATAACGGCCCACTCGGCTTAGAAGTGGAGTTTAATCAGTCGATTTGTGAGCAAAGCTCGATGGATATATTTAGGCGAAATGGATCTCATGGGCACATGAAAGGACGAACACAAACTCTGCAGTTGATCGGAGTTCGAAGTGTTGTCGAGTTCATGAGTAGAACATAATCCGGGCGTATCGGGTCTAGTAAACTAGATGGTATGACGGCATGATGGAGCAACCTGTGTGTTACGGGTTTCCTTGTAGAGAAGGCGAATGAGTCTGCGGCAGCAAGACGCCCGGATCTAATTAGTAATCACATGGAGACGCTAAAGCTACGCATTTATGCCGCAGCTTAACTAACAGAGATCACAAAAATCAGTTCACATCTTCAGAAGAAGATACGGAATGCAGCCGTTATTTGATTAAAAATAAAAAAGGTCATAATTCAGCCCAATTACAGTATACGGCATTGCAGCAATGTTAACGTCAAATCCTGATGTCACTGCTATAAAATGACGAAAGACTTTTAAAACATATAACCCAATAGAAAAGGATAACTTTAGAGGAGATTACAGCAATCCGTTGAAGAACTTTTCCCGACGCTTCTCCGCTCTACATTTTGGCTCATTCTTGAGCTGCACTAACAGCTACATACCGGACAGATAACACTGTCGACCAAACAGTATACCTTTTCTGTTTCAGTAATGCGATCTGCCTTATACAACAATTGTCATCCCTGAATGGCTATGTAGTTATTTACAAGCCATCGACGCATCAGTTAACTTCTTTACTGCCTACTCTGACCTCATCAGCATGCTTCCACGCAGGCGCTTGATTTATCGAGCAAATCGTACTCGGAAAATATTGTGACCGAGTGGTCTTGTGTCTTCACCCACATCTAGAGTTCTCGCCTGCGTCGCCATTGTTTTGAACTGCGTGTGTTCCTGTGTCAACACCAGTTATTTTCTCCCAGTACGTTTAAGGAAGAGAAGACAGAATGGGATAACAGCTAGAACTTAACTGTCACTTGTACAATAAATCTACCAGGGACGTTTAGTCGTACAGTCAGGTTATCAGCCTAAGAAGGACTAACCGAAAGGGAAATTCCTCATAGCACTACTTTTAACTCAAGTTAGACGAAAAGGCTATGATAAATATGGACATGAATAATCGACGTGGAAATCGTGTTGGCCATCCACTCCGATTTGCAATCGACGTTAAAAAGAAGGGGAATATATGGACATTGGAATTTGGCCGTGCCGGCTAATGCTGGCACGCCCTGGCACTTTATATTGCAAAGTAATCTATATTATAAGTCCACTAATTTAATGCTTCCTTAGCGAAAACGCATCTCGAATAGCGTGTAAGGAGATCAGAACTGTATGCAGAAAGACGGGCGTGTCCCCTGTCAAAGCCCAAAACTCGAGGCAAATGCACAAGAAGGGCTGTTAGACCAGGGGAGAAACTATCGAAGCATGTGAATCGACCTAATATCTACGAAACTAGACTAAACCTAGACGCGCAAAACAGCTGCCGAGTACCACGCCTTAAAACAGACTTACCGGGACGTGACTGATCAGACAGCACAAAGCGTCCATTTTGCGCGTCAACGCCAACCCGCTGCGAGTTAGACGCAGAAGGCATTGGTCTTCGAGGTATACCAGGTGCACCTTGACCACTGGGTAGTTCCTTCTTCGGTAAGCTGTACTCCTCATTCTGCGGTGGGTTCACGGTTGGAGGGGCGGGCACTGTCCGCAATGGCACAAGAGTGGGGGGTTGATATAACGAGGGACCACTGGGCAGTTCCCCCTTCGGCAAGCTGTATTCCTCATTCTGCGGTGGGTTCACAGTTGGCGGAGCAGGCACTGTCCGCAGTGGCAAGACAGTGGAGGGTTGGCCTAACGAGGGACCACTGGGCAGTTCCTTCTTCGGC